TCCCTCTCCAGCTTTCTTGTAGCCCCTTCAGGTACTGGAAGGTGCTGGAAGGTCTCCCCGGAGCCTTCTCTTCTCCAGGCTCAACAACCCCAAGTCCTTTGGCACCAGCGATGGGCAGCGCAGACTGACCGAGCAAACCACTTCGGCACTTAAAGAAAACAAGACCTTTCCCCCCACCCCCCAAAGAGGGAAATGGGTTTTATTCCTTCAGTGAGAATTTCATCCAAAGGGCTTTTTCTGTCTAGAAAAAAATATTCCATTCTCTGACCCTGCAGCAGAGATTAAGGGAGGCTCAGGATTAAGGGAGGCTCAGTGGTTTAGAAAAATAGACCGGATACGCAAACACCAACAAGGTGACACCAAAGCTCCCAGCCCAGCAGCCACCTCCGCTTTCCGAACCGCTTTTTGCTGCAAGAGCAGGTGTGGGGAGATGACATCCGCACAGAGATGCGGCGTCAGACATCACCCACGGGGTGAAAACGGAGGGTTCAGCCTGGGGCCGGTGCCAGGAGGGTTCGGGGACAGTGCCCGGGGGTGCGGCAGGGCTCAGCGCTGCCCGTGCAAAGCACCCCGGCTCCATTTGAGGAGAGGAAAGAGGTTTTGGTAATAAATGACCCATCGCTCGGAGCCTGCAGTGGCCTCCCTGCTCCACTTCGCCGTCGGCTGCAGGTAGGAAACAGCTTTGCCATCATGGGCATCGGTTCTGGCCGCGCCGGGGTTGGTGCTTCCAACCCTTCCCGGAGCTTTCCCTTCCTCCCGTGCTCCGCTCTGCTACGAAATAAACGGGGACCCTTTGTGCACGGCGTGCAAGAGCCCCCAAAGAAGGGGTGAAGGACCCCGCTACGCCGATCCCAGTCCCTCCTCGCCCCACGTGCCTTTGTGCCCTCATGCCAAACGAGGCCATAAATTCCAACCGAGCGAGGTTTTGCCACGAAAAGCCGCCCGAGACAACCCGAACCGGCGCCCCTCTCCCTCCCCGCCGCACGCTCACGTCGGTTAAGGCCGCGTTGATGTAGTTGTTGCTGTCTCCGTCCACGGAGATGAGGAAGGGAAGGCATCGGTCGGGTGGCAGGACGTCCATGCTGCGGTTCCTCTCCCGGTTGCGGGGCAGGAGGGCGATGCTGCACTCCTCCACGTCCAAGTGGGGAGTCACCGAGTTCAGGGTCTGTGGGTACATGTGTTCCCCTGAACTCTCCTTCCTGCCTGCACCGGGGCCAAAAGCCCTGCCCGGTGCTCAGCAGAGCTGCCTGGTCCCAGCCGCGGTGGGCACCGGGAGGGCGAGGAGTGACGGGGGGGACGCCGGGGGGGAGGCCCGGA